GAAGAAATGACAATTATATAGAGAGTTTTCAAAACACAAATTATGCTTCAAATTTCATAGCCCTCAGGCTCTATTTCACTTGAAATAGGACTTAATATGGATATGTATCTTGTCCTTTTAAGATTTCTTCTCTCAGAAATGTAACTCACAGTAGTTGTTAAGCATGTACTTATATGTACATGCTTACTATATATACTCTATCAGTACACACACACATATATATATTAGACACACAGAGACACATATGAACTTAACCATTATGCACCAGTATTTCTACTTCAACATTCTCCATTAATATATTCACAGATATTTGGGGGGAAATATTTCAGATAGAGAGTTTTTTAAAGTAAAAAAACGTATGGAATGTTGAGAAATTTTTCCCTCATACCTTTAAATATTATACTATAAAGGATTTTCCCCCATGTTCAATTAAAATGCTAATCACAAATATAAGCTTACAACAATCTGAAACTGCCCTAATTTTATTTCTACTAGCTATCTTCTAGTAGTCTGGACACCCTTTTTCCAGATATTAGTGCTGAGCAATTTTCATCATAGGAACCTTAGGGAACACAGTTTAATCGTGCTCATTACCCAGTGGAGACATAACAGATGCCAATGTAATACAAGATGTTGTTAGGAATTTCAATCTTCAAAGAGGATGTGTGTGTGTGTGTGTCTGATTCAACAAAGTTTTAATCAAAGCACTGTCTCTAAGCAAAGCACTGAATCAAAGCGGCATTCCTCTTCAAAGCACTACACGAGAGCAGTCACCCCATTTTTGACCCAGATATTAAAAGGGGCTTCTCTGCATGCACTCCAGAGTGGGAAAGTTCCACCAATGCAAAGAGAATGACTGAAATGGGTCAGCCTACTGCAGCAAAACATTAAGCAGAGATCTATGGAGATTCTCAGTCATCCAGGTCATGGTTGTCCCAAAGATGCTTTTTCAAGAAGCAACTGGACTTTCTTCTTTTTCTTTGAAGAAGTTTCACATCTCATCCAAGAAGCTTCTTCAGCTCTGACTGGATGGTGGGGAATAGAAGAATTTATATTCCTTGCAGACAAGCTGGTCATTTGCATTCTTCTAGAGAGTCGTTGAGGCCACTTGGAGGTTTGTCTGTGTCCTCAGGGTCACCTGAGTAGTGCAAATGGGTTTGGAGCCTTCTTGGAACTGCTGAAAGGACTGTGTTGTGGAGCTGTGTTTTCTGCAGGATGTTTTCTGCCCTGTGTCCTTTCACTGGTGTGGGAGTATGAACGATTTCCAGAAAAACTGCAGACTACAGGAACCATTTGCGCTTCAGTTTGAGATGAAGACAACACAGACTGTGCATGTGTTCAACAGCGAAGGGACACAGGGCAGACAACATCCTATAGAAAACATAGCTCCACAACACAGTCCTTTCAGCAGTTCCAAGAAGGCTCCACACCCATCTGCATTACTCAGGTGACCCTGAGGACACAGACAAACCTCCAAGTGGCTTCAACGGCTCTCTAAAAGAATGCAAATGACCAGCTGTCTGCAAGGAATATAAAACTTTCTATTCCCCACCATCCAGTCAGAGCTGAAGAAGCTTCTTGGATGAGAAGCAAAATGTCTTTTAAAAAAGTCCAGTTTCCTCTCGAAAAAGCACCTTTAGGACATTGAGCAGAAGGACAACTTATTATCAAAGTTACGTGTGATAATAGCTGAAGTCCAACTTTCAGGTTAGCATTCTTAGATGAAAGTAAGCTTTTAATACAAGTAAATATTAAATGAAATAGAGGGAAAAGTTCGTTTTTTTAAACCCTATCATTGTATTATTCATAATTATAAACTTTCATCTTAATATGGAACTAATACAAAAAAGGGAAGACACTGTTTGGGTGATAGACAAAAATAAAATCACGTTCACATCATACCATTTGAAGATGCTGCTTCTTTTGCAAAATTGTATGTAGCTTTTCTTGCTGTTTAATATATGTTTTCATTACTTCTTCCATCATTTTCCCTTTATCATCATCAGATCCAATACCATCGGTAAGAGCCTGAGATGAGGATTGTGCATCACTATTTATTTCCATCTCATCTTCTGTAGTCTCCCTGGAACTGACCTGTTCCGTTTTCCTTCTGTTTGCAGATTTAATGGGTATGGGTTGCTCTACAGAATCAAAAAGTCAGGAAAGCAATGTTTGTTGATTTTCTACAAAAACAATAATTTCATTAATGTTATTGTTATGAAAGTTCCATTTTTTACTCACCTATACTAGCACAAATTCCAGATCTGGGCTTTAAGTCAAACTTCTCCTGTCCTTCAAGAGCGATGTCCTGATAAAACACACTTTTTTTGTGTTTGCCTCCATTTTGCTGTTTTAGTGACGTCCCCGGAAATGATTTATATACCTCTGATATTTTTTCAACAGTTTTTGTGGTTTCTTTACACTGTGGCATTGAAGTACTAAGAGATACATTGGGAGCAACCACCTTATCACACATGTAAAAGAAATAGCTGGAAACAACAAAATTGAAAAATTATTAGAATATATATAAATTAAATTATACCAAATCAAGCACAAAATAGAAAACAACAAACAAAAATCAACTCTTTAATCCCCAGCCTGCTATCCAGCAGTTGTAGATAATCATTATTTTGTGTAGCATAGGAACCATCAAATCAATTAAGTAAAAGAAAATACATTGCCATCAGTATACTCAAAAATCTATTGGCGAAAATGAATGAAAGTCTATTTTAATTTTCAAAGGTATTTTAACACTCATAATTTTATTAGTCCCCATATGCACTTTAATGTATTTGTTTTATAACTATTTATGCCAGTCCACTCAAGATTCTGGGCAGATCAAAGAGCAGGTGGCAATTGTGGCCAAAAGGACTTTTGCAAAGCTCCATGTCACACATCAACTGCAACCTTTCCTGGAATGGCAGGCATTACTCACAGTGACTCATGCCTTAATTACTGTATGTCTTGATTGAAGTATTGCAATATGCTCCATACACATGTGCCTATCTTTGAAGACCATTCAAAAGCAGTAGCTGGGTTCAGAATGCAGGGACTCAGGTAGCAAGAGCACTTTCAGGTCATCCACATAACTGAGATCTGCCCTGGTTGCTACCGTAGTTGACTTTGGCGAGCAATTCAAGGTGCTGGTTGAACTTTTCAAGCACCTTTGTGCTTTGAGGCCAGAATATCTGCAGGATTGGCTTTTCCCTGCAGTATCTATCCAGCAAATATGATCCAGTAGGGTGGATTTGCTACATGTCACCTCAATTAGAGAATGTCACCTTCAAGAACCAAACAAGCATATTTTTTCAGTTGCCACTTCTCCTCTCTGGGGTACCCCCCCCAATCTGTGACTTCTTCTTGTCTTTTAGGAAACTAGTGAAAATCTGGTTGCTTCACCAAAACAAGGATTGCTGCAAGGTGAAGCAACCCAGATTTTCACTAGTTTCCTAAAAGACAAGAAGAAATTGACTCCCAGTTTCTTATTTACAATTCTCACTTCCATAGGAACATTTCTAGCTATTGTTTGTTCAACTGTCTATATGATTTTAATCCCAATTACATAACTGAGGAATTGTTTGCCACTCAGAGCAGGCAGATTGAATCAGCCTATAAGCAGCCTATAAATAAATATGTAAAAGCACAAAAAGGTTTTAAAATGTAAGAGGTTCCCCTTAGGTCAGGACCAGCCATGTCTGGGGGTTGCGAGGGAGAAAGGGTGGGGGGAGAGGGTGGGGGATTGAAGGAGGAGGAGGGAATCAGTACGGTCAGTGGGAGAGGCAGATATGGCGGGAGCAGAGGACCATATCAGGTTAGGGGAGCACGCACACGCTATTTACAAGC